TAATATACTTTTAAAAACAAAAAAGATAATCCTCTTTCATGGTGTCTAAGTTTTCACTGACTCTGGGACCAATTGAGAAGGTTTATTTTGATACAAACAATTTAAGTACTTTTTCAAGTAAAAATATTTTTAGTAAAGCATTAACAAAGAAAATAAAACTATATCCTACCGATTTCTGATTCAGCTCATCACTAAGCAATTCATACTCCTTAGTTTTGTCTTCAACTTCCTGAGACTTCTGGTCATAATTGACAGCAAGTTCTTCTAAAGCCTGTAAAACTTCTTTTACTTCTTCTTTAGAGGCATCATTTTCTGCTTGAAGGCGGTTCAGCTCAGCTTGCATATTATCCTGATCTCTTCTGGTAGATGCTAGAAGCTATAAGAGAGTAAAAATATCCTTTTAATCAAAAGAAAGACACAGATTAGATTGTTATAAAAAAATATGCATTGCTTTAACACTTTCTAAGTACTAAGAGAATGATATAGATTCTATTAAGTGCAGCAGCACTAATTTATTCAGTGGTTTACTCAGTGTCTACTATGTGCAGACACCATCCTAAACACTGAAAGAAAAAAATTTTAGCCTCTTAAGAACCTAGAAGAAAAAAAGACAGCTACCATCAGGTTGATTGTGATTCATAGTGACCCCGTATTTAATCAAACTATTCCATGTAATTTTCAAAGGCTTTTGAAAAAAGCAAATCACCAAGCCCAAGCCTTTCTTTTAAGGCATCTCTGATGGACCTGAATCCCCAAATTTTCAGTTGCAGCCAGGCACAACAACTATTTACACCACTGAGGGGCTCTGAAAAAAAAGAAAGTTACACAAACTTTCTTTTGTAGCTAGAACTACAAAAAAAGGCACAGGATTTGACAGATCTAGTGTTGGGGATTCAGGAAGGAGGACATTTCTATAGTGACAATAAGTGCCAGTGAGAAAAATTCACAGTGACCCTATGAATGAACAATCGATGTGAACCCTGCTCTATCCTGTGCCATCTTCATTACCTCTGACACACTTGAGCCCACTGCTTAAATCACCATGCCAATCCAGCTTGTTGGGGGCCTACATACAGTATTATAATGAACAGCAGGAGACACTTAAGATTTTTATTGAGAGCATCAAGGTGAGGAAGACACCTAAATTGTGTCCCAGTACACCACCACTGTAAGGATACAAAATTTCCACTGAAGGGAAGCCAGTAAACTAATTAGGAGGATACTGTAATTTTCCAAGGTTTTTAAGTAAGAGAATTTAGAAATGTGTGCCTGTGCCAACAATGGGAAGGAACGTTAATGGCATTTAGGAGTAGGGGCCAAGGATGTCCCTTAATGCAAAAAAACCCCACAAAAAAACAAAAAACCCAGAGCAATACTTACTCAGCACAATATGGCACCACAGCCCCTCTGAGAAACAAGGTCTAGTTGAAATAAAAATATAATCTCATTTGGCTAAGATTCATTTTACTGATAGGAGAGGTTTGATGGATTGCTCTGTATTTCAGTTACATGGCCTTTGTCAACAAACGAACCATTAGCCAATAAAAATAATCTTTAAATAAAGGATCATTTCTCAGTCATCCTCCCTGATATGCCAAATGAAATAACATGATAGTCTAAATCAGGTGATAGGCTAAGAATAAAAAGTAAAAGTAGAAATAGAAAAATGAGTAACAGATAAATGTGGGTAGAAAGAATAAAGGAATAAAAAATGTTTATTCATATGATGGGCAACTAAGTCATACTCAGAATTATACAACTATTAAAGTCAAAGTAAACACGCTTCAGATATCAACATTTTCGTTACTGATCCTGAGTTCAGGAGAATAAGAAATTGGGCCTTTCACTTCTTTTCATTTCTGTACATGAATGTATTTCATTAAGGGAAAGGAGCTTAGGGCTACTACAGCACACAGTAGTGTATAACCCAACAAACCAAGAAGAAATGTTTTGGGAGAATACGGTGATAAGCAGCTAGTAAAAGCAAGGAAAGTAGAAGGCAGAGTTATAAAGTCCAGAAAATATAGATGAAGAATGCTGCTGTTGTTGCTAGGTACCATCAAGTTGACTATTTCTCACAGTAACTCCACGAACAACAGATCTGTGCCATCCTCACAATCTCTGATACATACTTAAGAAACAACCCCCCCCCCCAAATCCCCTACTCTTCCAATTACAAAGCATTATAAAATTCCAAAATAGACCACATAAGATGAAGTTACTTTATTTCAATCCACGATACAGGAATTTAATAAAATATCCATAAGAAAGTATGCACATAATTAAAGAAAGCTTAACATATACTTTGTAGCATATTCTGAGCTCTGGAGATATTTTTATGTTTTACATATTTAAGTGTTAAAGATCAAATAAAAAAGCTTTTCTGAAAGTAATGGAAAGGTAGTTGACTTACCTCTTCCTGATCCAACATCTGCGTCTTCAGTTTCTCTACCAACTGGCTCTGCTGATTAATTTCTTCATCCTTGAATTTTAATTAAAAATATTTAGTTAACAGTTCACAACCTGGTTCTATTTCCTAGCACAAACTGTAAAACTGGCAAGACATAATTCAAATGAGAATAATTTTTTTGGTTATAGTATTTCAAAACCATTTCTCTAAAATCAAAATAACTATTTTAATATCTTCACTTGAGAAAGGTTGAAACAAAATTTCTCCAATTATCAACACATGCAACTTATAACTTTGTGACTTATGCTTGACATGAAAGAGAAGATTTTTTTTAAAAAAGTTTACACAAGAGGCCACAATTAAGGTTGCATAGTGGAATATACCTGGGGCTGTGGGAGGGGTGCGGGGGGATTGTGTACCAGGGAGGGAGTCTTTCTTTTGCTTTTG